ACTATTATTCCTCAAAGTACTAGAAATGTTAGTGTTAGCAATGAGAAAAGAAGAAAATTGAAGAAATTAGACTAGGTAATAAGGAAACAAAACTATCACTCTTTGCAGATGATATGATGGTATGCTTAGAAAATCTTAGAGAACCAACTAAAAAACTACTTGAAATAATTAACAACTTTAGCAAAGTTGCAGGATATAAAATAAACCCACACAAATCATAAGCATTTTTTATATTATCAACAAAGCCCAGCAGCAAGAGAGAAAAAGAGAAATTCCATTTAAAATAATTGTAGACAATATAAAATATTTGGGAGTCTACCTGCCAAAACAAACCCAGGGACTATATGAACACAATTACAAAACACTTTTCATGCAAATAAAGTCCGATCTAAACAATTTGAAGAATATCAATTGCTCATGGGTAGGCCGAGCTAATATTATAAAAATGTTATTTCTACCTAAATTAATTTATTTATTCAGTGCCATACCAAACTACCAAACTATTTTATAGAGCTAGAAAAGATAACAAAATTCATCTGGATGAACTAAAAGTCAAGACCATCAAGAGAATTGATGGAAAAAAAAAAAAGAAAGGTGGCCTAGGCATACCAGATCTAAAACTATATTATGAAGTGACAGTCATCAAAACTATTTGATACTGGCAAAGAAATAAGTGATGAATTAGTGAAATAAATCATGTACACAAGACACAGTAGTAAATGACTATAGTAATCTACTGTTTGATAAACCCAAAGACTCCAGCTTCTGGGATAAGAACTCACTATTTGACAAAAACTGCTGGGAAAACTGGAAAAGAGTATGGTAGAAACTAGGTATAAACTAACATTGCACACCATATACCAAGACAAGGTCAAAATGGGTATATGATTTAGACATAAGGGTGATGCCATAAGCAGACCAGGAGATCAAGAAATAGTTTACCTGTTAGATCTATGGAGAAGGGAAGAATTTATAACCAAACAAGAGATCGAGAATGTTGTGAAATGTAAAATGGATAACTTTGATTACATTAAATTAAAAAGGTTTTGTACAAAACCAATGCAACCAAGATTAGAAGGAAAACAGAAATCTGGGAAATAATTCTTATAGCCAGTGTTTCTGATAAAAGCCTCATTTCTCAAATATATAGAGAACTGAATCAAATTTATAAGAATACAAGCCATTCCCAATTGATGAATGGTCAAAGGATATAAACAGGCAGTTTTCAGATGAAAAAAATTAAAGCTGTCTATAGTCATATAAAAATGCCCTAAATCACTATTAATTAGAGAAATGTAAATTAAAACAACTCTGAGGTACCAACTCATACCTATCAGATTGGATAATATGACAGAAAAGGGAAATGATAAGTATTGGAGAAGACGTGCATTGTTGGTGGAGTTGCAAACTGATCCAACCATTCTGGAGAGCAATTTGGAACTATGCCTAAAGGACAACTAGACTGTGCATACCCTTTGATCCAGCAATACCACTAGTAGGTCTGTATCCCAAAGAGATCACAAAAAAGGGAAATGGACCTAAGTGTACAAAAATATTTATAGCAGCTCGTTTTGTGATAGTGGCAAAGAATTGGAAATTGAGAGGATGCCCATCAATTGGGGAATGGTTGAATAAGTTGTGCTATATGAATGTAATGGAGTACTCTTATGCTATAAGAAATGATGAGCAGGGGTATTTCAGAAAAAACCTGGAAAGATTTAAATGAACTGATGTCGAGTGAAGTGAGCAGAAGCAGGAAAACACTGTACACAAGCAGCTTCAACATTATGTGATAATCAAGTATGAATGACTTAGTTCTTCTCAGCAATGCAGTGATCCAAGACAATTCCAAATGACTCACAGTGGAAAATACTATTCACATCCAGAGAAAGAACTATGGAGTCTGAATGCAGATTGAAGCATACTATTTTCAGGGCTTTTTTTGGTTTGTTTTTTGTTTTTTTCTTTCTCGTTTTTTTTTCTTTTGTTCTGATTCTTTTACAACATGACTAATGTGGAAATATGTTTACTATGATTGTACATGTATAGCCTATATCAGATTGCTTGCTGTCTTGGGAAGGGGAGAGGGAATGGAGAGAAGGAGGAAAATTTGGAACTCAAAATCTTATAAAAGTGAATGTTGAAAATTATCTTTGCATGTAATTGGGAAAAAACAAAATACTATTAAGTGGGAAAAATAAATAAAAATTAAATATATAATAATTTTTAAAAAAAGAAATGTGAGAGGGGACCCAGTTAGGTAGTAGTGTGAGGCAGAACCTGTTAGCTAGCAGTGTAAGCAAAGGCATGGAATCAGGAAAACAAGGGAATATCTCCTGTTCCTTCAATTGAACCTCATGTAACAATTAGCCTTTTGAGGCCTAAGCTCCCTTATGGATGAAATGAGGGAGTTAAATGAGATGTTCTCTTAAGGTCTCTTTCAGCTCTGACATCTGAGTCTCTTCCAGTGTTGAATATAAATGTTTTAGAATAGATAGGCCTAGGCTAAACATTGCCATTTTGAGTTTACTGCAGTAATGACAATCTCCCTGAAAAATGAGCCTAGATATAAGTGGATATATAGCAATAATAATAATGCCTTACACTTGAACAGGGCTTTATACTCTTCAAAGCACTTTCACATACATTTCCTCATTCGGTATATGAATATAGGAACTTAAATAGTGCAGTAAGGCTTTAGTGGACTATAAATCCCAGGCAAGTATAGACATATATGCCAGAAATTTCATTATTATTTACTGTTGGGAAAAATCCATTTGAACATATCTGGTGTTTTGCAGTATAGGATAATAATGATTTAAGTAGATTGCAGGTCTTCCTATAAAGCTGTCAGGGTCATAGGCACCTGTATATGTAAATATTTTTCTTCTTTCAAAAAATCTTTTCCCCCTTCCCAAGATCCACATATAGAAAGGATAGAAATATCCATATGTGTGTATATATATGTATGTACATGTAAACATATATGTATGTATGTAATTAGTAATTCATCATATGATTTGTAATAGATATTTTGAGTATAGACATTTTGTTCAATAAAAGTTGTATTAATGAATTTTTCATATTTAAATTTTAATTTATTCATTTCATATTTAAAATTTAAAGTCATAAGCCTAGTAAATGTTTGAAATATATATACATTATATATGTATGTATATTATATTCTACATAAAAGAAGTAGATACCTTGGATACAGTATACAGTTTGCCAGCAAACTCCCTCCCTTAGAGGAACAGTTAGATGGCACAGTGCACAGAATCCCAGGCTTGGAGTTAGGAAGACTCATCTTTCTGAGTTCAAATCCAGCTTCAGACTTGCTAGCTGTGCGACCTTGGACAAGTCACTTAATTCTTTTAGCCTCAGTTTCCTCCTCTTTTAAATTAGCTGGAGAAGGAAATGGCAAACCTATCAAGAAAACCTCAAAGAGGTCTCAAAGAGTTGGACACAACTGAAATGACCCAACAATAATACCTCTCTTAGAGATTTCAATATGCAGGATGTCCCAAAAATCTTAGTGAAGTTTTAAACTTTAATAGCTTAAGGTATTAAATATATCCCCCCCAAAAAAAACATTTATTAGCTCAAACAGGTAAAGCTTTAAACTTTACTAAGACTTTTGGAATATCCCGTAAGTTGTCATTCAGAGTTAATTCTGAAGAAAGCCTCAAGCTGAAATAAGAAACCTTACTTTTAATCAAATCATAGGAAGTCTGGAAAGGACCTTAGAGATCATTTGGTCTACACTCATTTTGCAGGCTTTTAGCATGTATATTCTCAAATTACGGCATATGTACTTCTCAGTTTACATGTTGTATCCTTCCTTTTGACCTTCTCTTCTCACGTGTTACTTTAAAAAAAGTCTCCTTAGACAACACTCAGTCAGTGTACTAACCTAGTTCAGAAAAGTACATAATCTTTAAATACAGTGATAGAATTCATCCCTGAGTTTTGTGGAGGCCTAATGGGATTCTACAAATGTAGCTTCAGGATATTGACATTGAGTCTAGGCAAAAAAATGGGTGACTGTATATATAGCATTTATTGAGGAGTAGACCCACGTCTCCAGCCTATCACAGTACCTGAATTTCTGCCATCAGAGAGACGTTTGTGTCTCCAGAAGAAGGCTGTTGAATTGGTTTTTGAAAAGGAAAACATTGAGAGATCAGGGATTGTGAGGGAGAGAGAGACAAGGAAATTTTTGATTGAATCGGTCAAGTTTAGGAAGGTCTGGATCTGGAGAACTGAGCACTTTAGGGAAAAGAGGACTTGGGTGACATGCTATAGTAGGAGATACTTGCATACCTAGGGGTGGCCTGGGACATAATTCCTAATCCACTGTGTACCCTCCATAAGAACTTACTCTAATGTGTCATTTTGGCTTCTGAATGTGATCCTGAGTTCCTAAGTGCTGTTCCAAGGGAGGGCATGCTTTTTCAGCTTCTGTTTTCCTGGAAAGAGTTTGAATGTAGTCTCAGTGGCAGATTGGATCTGATGTCCAAAGACTGGTCTAAGTAAAAGAGGGCTCACCTCTTTTTATTTTTTTGGCTGGCATTTGGTGATAAATATTTTAGCCATGGAACCCCCATGAAGTGTTGGAGTATTGTCTGCTTGGTGTGAGATTTAAGAATTGATATGAAGGAACCAGGGAGGCAACGGAGCAAGCATTTATTAAGCATTTATATAGAGCCTGCCACGTCTCAGGCACTGTGCTAAGTGCTTTAAAAATATTATCTCACCTCACATTATAAGATTTCCCTATTATTCTTCCTCGTGCCCCAGCACTGAAAACACGTCATTGGTCCAGAGGAAGAAGGCAAAGATAATCCGTTCTTGAATAATTATGTATTACCATCAGCACAAGCATTGGTCCTCACTGATGCCAGAAATGGCAACCATTTACAATGGAATAATTCCATTGGGTTGGAGGTTTGAGGGGAAGAAGAATAACTATTAAGTTCTTTTTCTTATTTCCTTTCCAGATGAAGGCCTATGGGATATGTTTGTGAAGGACATCCCTCGAAGTGCTACATCCTACACTGTGAGCTTGGACAAGCTCCGGCAGGGGGTGACCTATGAATTCCGAGTGGTGGCAGTAAATGATTTTGGCTATGGAGAACCTAGCAGTCCCTCTATAGCTGTATCAGGTAATTGGGTTTAGGGGAGAAGATAATCAGTTCAGTTTTGGACATGCTGAATTGGAGGTACTAGTGAGTCCAGATGATGTTCAGTAAGTAATTAGACATGTGGAAGGCAGGATTTAGTTTCAGGGTAGAGGCTAAGTCTGGGGGAAATAGTAATAATAATACTAATGATTATATATATGTGTGTGTGTGTACATACATATATATGTTGTATGTGTACAGTATACATGTAGGTGTGTATATATATGTTTGTGCATGTATGTATAAGTATTTTTGTATATATATAGTATATAAAGAAAGAGAAAGAATTGTAAAGTAAATTTGGAAAGTTTCAGAAATGTGAAGGAGGCCAGAAATTGATTTGGATGTGGAGAGGAGAAAAAGAAGGATTCATACTGAAAGGAAAGGGCTAGAGCTGAAGGAGGAAAAGAACTTGATGAAGAAGAGGACAGGCAGAGGGGGAGCAGAAGGAGAAGGACTTGAGCTCCAAAGGATAATGAACCCAAGGAAGAAGAGGGGAATTAGCAGAGGAGAAGAAGGAAGTTAGTTAGGCAAGTCAGACCTGTGAGTATAAAAAATAAAATAATGGTAAGACAAGGGAAAGAAAGTCAGATATGGCTATCATGATGCTAATGATGTAAGAGGATAGTAATGAGGTGAAAAGGAGAGTGACAGCTCTGGAGTAGACACCCAGTAGTTTTTTGCCAGTTGATTTCTACAGTGGGAACTGCTATCAAGAACAATAAAGGACTGAGGCACAGAGGTAAATTTGACCTCACTAAGTTGAGATTCAAGAATGTGACATGGCCATGGAAGTATAAAAATTATATAAGTTAAAAAAAAGTGAGTGTGTGTGTGTGTGTGTGTGTGCTGGGAAGGGGGAAAGCAAAGTAAATTCATATTTCAAGAAGACATATCATGTGAGCAAATCCAAGAATAAGATGACAAAAGTGTGGTGAGTGAAGATGAATGGAAGCATAAACCAAAGCAGTATTGCCATTGGAGTATACAGCAGAACCCCCAAACAGAAAGAGGGAATAAATGAGTAGTTTGGAAAACAGATCATGAGCCTGGCATAAAGCTATGATGTAGTCATGGAGTAGGACCGCAATTATCTGGAGTCTTCTGGAGTTCTTTCTGCCAAAAGCAAAATGATGATAAATTATTTTCTTGCTTTAATGACTTCATCCTTTAAAAGGGGGGAGCAGCTAGTAAGAGAAACTTCTATTCAGATAAAATTCAAAGACGGAGGAACTATTAAAGAGGTTATGGTTGCTAGGATGAATATAATGGGGATTTTTGGGAGGAAGTATCTTAAGAGTTTGGGATAGAGGAGAGAAAAATCCAAACATAAAGACTCAGATTTTAGGAGATCATATTTCAAAAGGTTCAGAGAAAAGATAGGTAGGACCAGATAGACTAAAAACCTAAAACAAAAATTTACCCAGGTGGCATGGAACTGAACTTCTTAAGACATGAAGAGAAACAATTCAAATGAGAATGAAGAGTTGGCATTATTTGAAGAAATTGATATGAATCTTCCCATGATGAGGGAAATGACCAACCAACTTAGATTTTTTTCCTTAGTAATCTTCTATTTTTTTTTGTTTTGTTTTTAAGCAATTGGGGTTAAGTGACTTGCCCAGGGTCAGACAGCTATTAAGTGTCAAGTTTGGTCTGAGGTCAGATTTGAACTCAGGTCCTCCTGAATCCAGGGCCAGTGCTCTATGCACTGTGCCACCTAGTTGTCCCATCTTTTTTTTTTTTTTACCCAATTACATGTAAAGAAAATTTTGAACATTCATTTTAAAAAATTTGAGTTCCAAATTTTCTCTCTTCCTTCCACATCTTCCCCCTCCCTGAGACAGTAAACAATTTGATATAGATTATATATGTTCAGTCATGCAAAACATATTACCACATAACCAACTAAGATGCCTTAAAAGACATGTACAGAAGATAAAAATGACAAGTAATAGGATGAGTAGAAAGGTTTGACAAGGTAAGAGTAGTATCAGTATGCTAAAGCTCTGAGGCTGTTGGAGAAAATCTAAGGGCAATAAAAAAAGATAATTTTTTAAAACTATATCTCAAAAAGGATTAAGGGGTAGGACTACTCAGGTTGGGCAGAATGAAAATGGACCCAGATCAGAAGTTCACAATACTTAATTTGTTTCTGTTTCTCTGCCAAGGAAAATGAGTTTTGGATTGGAGAAGACAAAATGAAAATGGCTAATAGGGAACTAAAGCCCAGATAAGAAGGGAGTTAGTAAAAGAGTGTCTAGCTGCCCTTGTTGTATTGAAGTTACTAGGCTCAGGTGAACTACATCTGGGTTACTGAAAACACTGTAGGTGTAATAGCTAAGCCGCTTTCAGTGATATTTGAAAAATCATGAATTTAGAACTTAGAATTTTATAAAAGTGAATGTTGAAAACTAAAAATTAATTAATTTAAAAAATCACGGAAGATAAAAAAGCCTGGAGAAGAGTAAATTAAAAAAATTAAAAATAAAAAAAATTTAAAAAAAAGGAAGAGAATGAATCTGTGAGTGATAGGCCAGTGAATTTGCCTTTAATTCCTCACAAAATTCTAGCAAGTATTATTATTAAAGGGAATGGATAATGAACATCTGGAAGAGAAAGCATTGGTCAAAAATAACCAGAATGGTTTTATCAAGAACAGATCATGCCAGATTTTCCTTTTTGAAAAGGTTACAATACTAGTAGATCAGGAGAATACTGTACATACAGATACCTAGATGTTAGCAAAAAAAATTGACAATCTGTCATAATATTTTTATGGGCAAGATGGAGAAATATGGATTAGATAGTGGAGCAGTCAAGCAGATTTGGAGTGGGTTGAATGGTTGGACCCAAAGAGTAATTGGTTATTCATGGCTTGATGCCAGTGTGGAAGGGTGAGTCTCTAAGCAGAGTGCTCCAATTACCTATGCTTGGCCCCATACTATTAGCCACTTTAGCAATTACTTGGGTAAAGGCATCGATGGCATACTAATCAAATTTGCAGATGACACCAACTTGGAGGGATACTTAGGAAACTTGAAGATATAGCCTCCAACACCCTAGATTATAGTGAAGATCCAAATAGATTTTGACAAGCTAAAACACTGGGCTGAATTAGGTTAAAAAAATCAACTTCATAAGTATAGTACAAGATGACAGAGATGTGACTAGAGAGTAGTTTTTCTGAAAAATAACTGGAGTGGACTACAAATTCAATGTAAGTCAAGATTATGATATAACAGCCAAAACTGTTAATATGATTTCTAGATATATTTAGAGTGAGCCAGTGTCCAGGACCAGGGATGTGATAGTTTCATTATACTGTGGTTGGTCAAATTACATTTCTAGTTTTCTCTTCATTTCTGGGTACCAGATAGTAGGATAGACATTGACAAGCACTGATTTGGCATCTAGAAGAAGATGACCAGGATGGTGCTTTAGGTCATGTCATATAGTAGGATTGTTTGAATGAACTGGGAATGATTAGCCTTTGGAAGAGAAGATTAGGGCGAACATGAAGCTGCCTTCAAAAATTTGAAGGACTATCTCATGGAAGACAAATTCATCTTACTGTAATTGACCTCAGTAGAGAATGAGGAAGAATGGCTAGAGGCAAATTTCAACTTCATTTGAGAAGGTCCTTCTGATTAGAACTATTAAAAAGGACAGTAGGCCATTGCTGGGACTTGGTGAATTTCTCCTTCTCTGGAAGCCTTCAGACAAAGTTTGGGTGACAGATCACTCATTAGGTCTGTTGTAGAGAGGATTTTTGTTCATCTAGAGATTGGACTCAGTCCTCTGTAAAGTCTCTTCTGGCTCTGTGATTCTGTGATTTATTAATTGAGAGAACAGTTTCAGTAGAGTTGAGGGGAAGAGGGTGTCAGAAGCCAAATTGTAAAGAGTGAATGTGTGCTGAGGCAGTGGAGGCAGGAGGTGTAGAATAATCTTTCTAGGCATCTTCTAGGGAGAAGAGATTGAAGTGATGGTTGAATTGAGTGAAGATATTTATGGATGGATAGACATGACCATGTTCATTTATCCATCCTGTTTCCCTCACTAATTTATAAGCTTCTTGAGGCAGAGTGTTCAGTTTGTACCTTGTAAACCAAAAATAACTGCAAAGCGAGAAATTCAGTGGGCACTCAGTAAAATGTATTTGGGATGATTTTAAGAGTAAGTAAGGAGTTAATGAATGTACCATTCTCCCATGAAAACACTTCTTCTTTTGTACTGAACGTGTGTTAATAGAATGCATTTTAATATTTGTGTGTGTATGTATTTTCCCCCTTAGTGTTAATTCCAAGTACATGTGGTTGCTTGAAGTTAAGTTCCATGCTTTCTAAGTCAGTTAACAACATGACTCCCTTACTTTTCTAGTTCATGGAGAAATATGACTTAAATGTTTTCCTGAAATCCCATTGGGTCTAAAATATAAGTTTTAAATTGCCAGCTGGAGTATGCTCAATTTATTACATCCTTTAGGAAAGTAAATGGATCTGTACCCGACAGCATTTTTTTCATACCCAGGCAGCTCAAAATTAGGTGCTGTTGTGTCCTACTGAGATATTTCTAATAGAACCACTCAGTCCTTTTCTTACCATCACAAAGCCTGTCTCTGCTACTTTTGGGCAATAGGTCTGGGATTTGTTTGACTTGTTAGATGGAGTGTTTAATGTGAAGCATGAAGACCTGTTTATATCTTTTGAAATCAAAATCCTGTCATCTCTTGAGAAACCCTGTGGTGCCACGTTATCTGAAGCAAATTCACCCCACTTATTCCTGGAGTGAACACATTTTCCACTTTTCCAGTGAAATATTTCCCTCAAAGCCAGATGTGGGGTTTATTTTGCAAGCATTCTTGGAACTCCATCTTGAGCCTGTGCTTTTCATCAATAGATGAATATCAATTCCAGCCTTCCAAGGTATCCCAAACATAGTTCACCATAGCATGAGTGGGAGGCACTGATCGAGAGTGTGAGGTGCCCCCCTCTGGGATACCTACTGTGAGAAAATCCTTTTTATTTCTGATATCAGTTAAAATCATTGCTCTCCTTTGAATTTTCTTTAAGGTGTGATTCTCATAAATAAGACACATCTTGATGGAAAAAAGTTATTTGTATGTATGTACTTAGATATGTGAATATAGGGTTCTGTAAGAGTATATTTTATATGTGTGCACATGTATACACATATTTTACACCTTAAAGCCACTAAGGATGTGGTCATTAAAGCCAGTGAGTCAATAATGGATTGGGGAAGGGGAGAGGGAAATGAGGAAATCTTCCTGAGGTAGGATATTGATTAGATTTAATAAACAGAGCAGAGGGAAGGGTGTGTATATGTATACATATATATTTACACATACGTACATACATATACAATATACATATATAGGGCAGCTAGGTGGCACAGTAAATAGAGCACTAAGCTTGGAATCAGGGAGACTCATCTTCATAAGTTCAAATTCTGCCTCAGACACTTACTATCTGTGCAAGTCATTTAACCTTGTTTACCTCAGTTTCCTCATCTGTAAAATGAGCAGGAGAAGGAAATGACAAACCACTCCAATATTTTTTTGCCAAGAAACCTCAAAATGGGGTCATGAAAAGTCAGACATGACTGAAATGACCAAACAACACAACATACATGTGTGTATGTATGTAAACATGTGCATGTATGTATGACACACACAAGTAAAATCAGTTTAAAAGGATAAAGGAATGTCAAATTGTACTTTGGAAAAGTGATTTGGAGTCAGAGGACTTGATCAAAAGACCTGGGTTCAAGTCCTTTTGAGTCTTTGACACCACTCTAAATGGCTGTTTCCTTATTTATGAAATGAAGGTTTTGGACTAGACTCAGGGCCCTGCCAGTCCCAAGTCTATGATCTTGTGATCCTAAGGGCACTGTGCTAACAAAATGGTACTATGAAAGGGGAAAAGAAAAGAGATCATTGTCAGGCAGCCAGCCCTAGACACCAGCCCCAGTCTTTTATATTCTGATGCACATACAGCCTTCTTAGTGGCACTTTCTTCCTCACCCCTGCTGCCTGAAGCTATAGAGTCTGGAGAGCAGAAGTGAGCCCAGATAAGTTGTTTCAAACTGCCTTAACTATAAAATGCTTCTAGGTGAGTAAGGCTGAACCTAACTGTTCCCTTGACCATGGTCTCTTGTGAGAAACTACAGATTGGGAATGGACAAGTTGGTAAAGAAGCTGAAATTACAGTGCTACTTTTGACCAGGGACACAGCTCTATCTAATTTCTCTTTTAGTTCTCTGATAATTATGAAATAAGCCTATTTCTTGGGGGTTTTTTTTGTTTTTATTCTGAATTTAACAAACACCAAATAAAGTGAGCATTTCCATATGTATTAGAAAGGAGGCAGTTGTATATAAAATTGTGAAACCATGAATCTCTTTATGTAGAGTTTGTTTTTATTTTTAAGAACGTAATACATTAATTAGGTAACTCTCAAAGTTGTCCTGCTTGTCTGAAATTCCTTCTGACCCTCCTTACGTTTTCTTCTCTCTCTACCTTTTTTTGGGGAAACCTATCTCTACCCCCCTTCTCCCTCTTACCTCCTCCTACACATATATTTTTGATAATAAGCAGAATGGTGTATAGTATAGGGCTGATAAAGCAGATGGCCAAGACTTCTGGACTACTAATCCTCTGATTTGGCATGAATTCCCACAGCTAAAAAAATGACACCATGAAGGCAACAATGAATTGACTCTTATCATGGATTTAGTCCCAACATGTGTTTTCTTTAGCAAATGTAGATTTCTGAAGCTGCTCCAAATCCCACCCCCTCCCCAAAGATGCTATGCAAAGTCTCACCTTCTTGCCTCTGTTCAAACTGCTTCCCTGTCCTGAAATGGCCCCAGTCCCACTTCTCTGCTTAGCAAATCAACATTTGCTGAGGACTTACTATGCAGAAGACACTTTCTTATTCTTGCTTCAAGGCCTGGCTCATGTCCCACAAGCTCTCTGAAGCCTTTCCTGGCTTGATATAGTGGATAAAGCACTAGATTGGGGGTCAAAGGAGGACCTGGGTTTGACTCCTACTTCAGCCATTTTACTAGCTGAGTCACTTTGGAGAAGTCACTGCTTCTCTGGGTCTCAGTTTCCTTATCTACAAAATGAAGGGGTTGGACTAGATGACCTGTATATTCAATTCTATCTTTAAACTTGTTTACCTGTAATTCTTTGACCTCAATCTATAGGGATCCCTCCTTCCTCTGAACTCCTATAGTATTTACTGTCTAGACCATTCATTGGGCACCTAGCCTAGTCTACCTTGGGTTGTTTATCTTGGCTCTGTGTTCTCCAACTAGATTGTAAGTTGAGCATAATTTAACATCCCCAGTGCCTAGCACAGTGTAGATGTCCAATAAATGTTTCTTAGTGATCTGGACACTTTTTTAAAATGCCAAAATGGATGTTGGTTTTTTTTTCCTTACTGAAATAGAAAGGAACTAGCTATTTTAAAAGACACTTCTTTTGGAGCCTTATATGAATGCCATTAGGTGTTTTTCTCATTGTTATTTCTTTTTCCTTTAGCCCAATCAGAAACTCCATTCTATGAGGAGTGGTGGTTTCTTCTGGTGATGGCCCTTTCGAGTCTGATACTCATCCTGCTCATTGTGTTTGCCTTGGTCTTGCATGGACAGAATAAGAAGTACAGGAACTGCAATACGGTAAGAATTCAAGTTTCATTTCTCCTATTTTCATGCCCTGGCCAGATTCTCTTAAGCTGATATTATAGTTTCTTTCCTCATATTCAGGGCTGCATCAAAGACTTTGCTATTCCGCCTATTTGTAGGGGAGGGTAAAAACAGACCAAACAGATGCATTTTCTTGAAGGCATTGTAAAGTAATGGGAAAGACATTTTGTTCTTTCAAATAGCTTGGGTTCCAGTCCCAGCCTTGGCACTAGCTGGCCAAGTGATCTTCAGCAGGTCCCTTATCCTTTCTGAGACTCACTTTCCTCACCTGTAAAATCAAGTTGATAATGTATCTCAAAGTGTTGTGTTGAAGGCCAAATAAAAGATGTAAAAGGATTGTGAAAAAGCAGAAAGTTCTCTACAAAGATGTATTATTAAATGTAAGACAAATTATCATCATCATGACTAGCATTTATCTAGAACTTTTGATCTTCACCACAACCCACTGTTAATTGTCTGAGCAGCTGAATATAAACTCATCTGTTATCTGTTTTGATTCCAGGCCCAGCATACTATCTATTGAGCTGATGGGTGTGTGTGTGTGTGTGTGTGTGTGTGTGTGTGTGTGTGTGTGTGTGTACATATATGTGTGTCTGTACACATATACATGTGTATACATGTATATATGTACATATATGTATATATAAACATTTGAGTTTAGATTGTGTAAGTTATGCAAAAAAAATGATGAAAGCTTACACCTCACCACATGTATGTTTGCCTTGGTTCTAAATCCAGAGTCTTCAAAAGTCATCAGAACAATTTGTTATGCACGGTAAATTCTTCCACTGCACATGCACTCATACGTATACACACACACACACACACACACACACACGATATCGGTATGTTAAAATCTTTTCATAACAAAAGGATTTACAAGCTTTAGCCAAAGGCCTGCTTTTTCCAGGTGATGTTCTGCACATTATTCCAGCAGGGCTAGTCCCTAGGCATCTATTGTAATAGTATTTGACCAGAACTATCAAAAATAGTTGAAACAGAGCCCTTTCCAAAGCTAGCTCCATAGTTTGGAGCTTTCAAATTCTGCTTGTCTTTTGATCTTAGAAATGTTGAGTCCCACTAAGGTTCTCTTGCCCATATGTAATAGAACCACTTTAACTCTTAACCACTTGGAGCCTGACATGCTGCTACATCAAGCTGCACATAGACTATTACCATTAACCATCCATCAAGGTAGCGGGCATTTAGTCCTAAAGGGTTAATAAAATACAAGGCACTGTAAAAAGCTTGCCATTTCCGTTTCTGAAGTTAAGCAATTCATCCCCCAAAGAAAGGATTTATTTTTTTTCTGTATAAATTCACTTCTAACAAGTGTTAGTAAATCAGATTTTATTCCTGTGGGATTTAAAATATATGAATGGCATGGCATTTTACTGAGCTAATGCTATTACAGAACCTTATGCCTGGTGCATAGAAAATGTTCCCCTTTTCATTCTTCCTCTCCTTCTGGAAAACAGACATGAAAAGACAGATACAACCTGCAGCTTCTGATATTCAGACTCGCCCTAAGCTTCAAAATTGAAGCTTAGGAAAAATACTTGTCTACCAGAGTGTCTACCATTTTTGCCTGAGAGACAAGCAGAACTGAAGCCCTTGGGTTTGTGGCATCATTCAAGACCTCTTCTGTCTTGCTGTCCTTTCTCTGTCCAGTTCCTTGTTTCTAGTTCCTTCTTATTGCCTTTTTCTCTACTGATTCCTCTTTCCATCAGAATTCTTTACCTTCACCTTACCTTATCCTCTCATTTGCTGACCCCTCCCCACTTCTGTTTGTTAGCTTTTTCCATTTTTGTTCTTCCTCTGAAGACTGTATTCCTTTCTCTACCCTGCCACTATCTCTAGTTGTCCTCTCTCATTCTCTCATCCCCATAGCCTTTACATGCGGATATTCATAGGTAGCATTTAGGAGATGTAAATAGCAGTGGACCTCTAGAGGAAAGAGAGATCACACACTGCACCAGTCAGGCCCATCCCTTCATTATGGTCACCCTCCGTATGCCAAACAAACCACTCCCTCCATGCCTATGCTTATGCTGCTCCCTCAGCCTAGAATGCCCCCTAGCTCCTTTCTACCAATGTATGTATTTCCTGCCTGTTCTTCAAAGTCCACTTCCTCCCTTCAGGGAAGTCAATGTCTTTTGATCTTTAAAGCTTCCAGGGATCTCTTCTTCCCTCTAAACTTCTAAAGTCATTATTGTCTGCTCCATTCATTTGGTCTACTGTTCTGGAGTAACCTTGTATTATCAATTAACATTTAACTAGATTGTAAACTCCATGACAGCAATGTTTTTATCTCATTTATCATCACTGCTCCTAGTATAAGACTAGGCACATAATTGATGTTCTGCCAATACTTGTGGATTGATCCAGTCTGTTGGTTCTACTCAGTAGGTAAGTACTTATTAATGAATAAAAATGAGTAGGTCTTTTTATCATCCGTATACTTATTTTCTACAGGAAAAAGCATCTCCAATATGGAAGAATCAGTTACTCTGGATAATGGAGGGTTTGCTGCCCTGGAGCTAAACAGCCGCCATCTCAGCGTCAAGAGCACTTTCTCCAAGAAGAATGGCACCAGGTACAGCATTTTAGCTCTGACCAATGCTTGCCACTTAATATTTTATGATTTGGCCCCCTGGCAGGGGTCCTCATTTGCTGAACTTGAACAAATAGTATGTTAGTGTGAATGAATGAAGAAAGCATTTATTAATTGCTCACTATGTTCAAGGCACTGTGCTAACTGTTGGGGATAAAAAGAGAAAATCCAGAAGGCATTATTATTATGTTGTTGGTCTCATATATGCTGCATAACTTCAAAAGAGATGTGATGCAACGTCACTGAAGGTTAGTGTTTAAATTGGTGGATTACACCAGACTGGCAGATTTCATAACATGAACTAAATGATCCCTGAAGCTGAGCAGTTTGGAATTAGCAACATCATAGGGAGACAGAAGTAAATAGAGGTTTGTGAAAGTCCATAGGAAGCAGTAAGGGTCAGAGGATAGAGAGTCAGGTTGCTGCAAGCTCTCCGTCTTAACAGCCACATAACTAAATTCACCCTTATCCTCCCTGCTATCGCTTTTACAGCTGACTTGGACAAACACAAGTCAATCAACAATAAGAATTTCTAAATCACCTACTGTGTGTTAATCACTGGATATACAGACAAAAAAAAAATCACAGTCCCTGCCTTCAGGAAGCTTACATTCTATCAGGGAAAATGATGTTTCCATGAATAAATTTAAACTAAGAGAGAGACATAGAAGCTGTCAACTGAGCTTATCTACAGGTTTCCTCTCTATTGAAAAAGTGGCTTATGCCTTTCTCTGTAATGTTCTCTGTTAAACTGAGTTTAGGCCAGGATTGGCATGTATTTCAGAGTTGTGAGAGCTAATAATCTGCAGCTACCATTCACTGGGCTTAAGGGCAAAAGACCAAGGAGAAAGTTAGCCCTTTTCTCCACCTTAGCTTTTTTATAAAACTATTCTTCTGTGCTCTGGTATTAAGGCTACTTCCCAGCATTTTTTAGTAACTAAACTGAGCATTGAAAAAATGCTCTTAAGGCCTTGGAGACGTAGGGTTGGGATTGTGTTGAATTTCTGGTTCTCCATACAATTACAATCCTTTGGCAGTTATAGACTAGCATCATTTACTGGCACTTTACAATATGTGCCTAGTTGATTTATTTCTCTCTGCATTTATTGCATTTGAATATTTTATGATTTATTTGTGAGCTAGGGCATCAATTCAATTTCTTAGACTAAAAAGATTGGACCCAAATGGTTAGATGACAGATTCATTCTTAAAAAAAATAAGTGAACTTTGGTGTGAAAATCAAAGTCCTTTATTTTTGGGGTGACTTTTTACTTAGACAAATTAACAGTTCTTCTGGGAAACCAGAGTCTCTGGGTATTCTAGATACTGCAGAGGTCTTTTGCCTGGGCATAGAAGGTCAAAAGATCTATCCCTTCAGCTCCTGTTCTTTCTATAAGAAACCTTTAAAAATAAACGTATTCCTGGCCAATGACATCTACATATGATTCCCTGTAAGTCTCCCCTTGGAGAAAGAAAGATAGGCTTCATTTATCCTGCAAACATATAGACTTCAGTACAATGAAAATACATGTTTGTTCCTTAATCAAGAACTGTCCTATGAGAAAGCAAGAAAAATAGGATATAATTGCTATTTTGACTAGGTAACCAGATAGGTGATGGACTGTAATTATGCTTTTCCCACCAAATCCTGGGATACGCTAGTCACTTAATAAATACTCGATGATAGATTGATTCTACCATGGTACTGAGAAAGTAAATTAGCATATTTTTATTAAGCACTTACTATGTGCCAAGCACCGTACCTAAGGTAAAAACAGTACCTATCTTCAAGAAGCTCACATTCTAACGAGTAAAGACAATATGTAAATGACTATATACATACATTATATGAACATTATAAGTAATAGGTACAAAAAATGGTAGCCAATCAGCAGAATTTCCTCACTTTCTTTCAAAATTTCTCCACCTGCAAGCAGGCCTTTCCCTTAGTAACTACATAACCTAGTCCAGGCAGCTGCAGAAGCCTCAGAAGCTGCCTCCCCTCCACCCAGAACCACTCAGTGCCTTGGTATCAACAGCCAAAATCCTAATTCCCAAGATTCCAAGGCTAATCACATTGAGTAAGCATCAAGCCTGTGCAGGTGAAAGATGATGGGGGTCCCATCACCTTGATGTTGACTCTTGCTTCCTAATTAAACCCCAACAGGGTCTCTCAAAGTGCCACTTACATTGCTGACTCCTGATTCAAATTCATCAGGGCATGCTTTAGGGTAAAAGAGGGCCATTGCTCACTGAAAGACTAGCTTTGTGGCTTCCAGAGTAAGTTTGATAAGCTTCTTCCAAGTGGCCTCAGTACTTGTCTTATAAAGCAAAAGCCCCGAATTTAGAAGTGTTCAATGTTTATGCAGCATCAGGGATTAGGAAGATTCAAGGTGAACCTTGAGAAAGAAACTAAAGGCAACTAATTGGATTTGGTGACCTGTGGTTGAAAGTTTGCAGGTCAGAGTCCAATCTGCGTATGCCCCCTTCTTCAGTATGTACCTGTGATGAGGCTTAGTATGTTCCCATAGGCACATTGGGAAACTCAAGATGAAAGACATTTTATGTTCAGTGCTGCCCTTCATAAAGTGTCATTTGTCACACACCCCTCTCCCTCTCTTCATACTGCTAGATCCCCTCCCCGACCAAGTCCTGGTGGTCTACATTATTCTGATGAGGATATCTGCAACAAGTACAATGGAGCAGTGCTAACTGAGAGTGCAAATCTGAAGGAGAAATCTGTAGATGCATCTGAATCTGAGGTGAGTACATTTCTCTACTGCAGGTGCCATTTTTGACAAAGAATGTAAATATCCTCTAATGGTGTAAATGTAAAGATTCCTTTTATTTCTGAAGTACTTGATACTTTTTGGAAACAAGCTCTTACCTGAGCCTTAGATTAATCCTATAAGTCAGTTGCCAGGCTCATACTTGACCTGGAAGCTTGGTAGGACCTTCCAGAGCTTGAGTCTGCTGATACCACCTTTCGGAAGACAACGATCATTCCATGCTGCAATGAATTTATTTAATATTAAGCAAAAGAAAAACACTTAGACATCAAGCATGAGGCACATTTTGGTTACCACCATTTCTTGATCTGGTCTTGACCCTCACAATCCTAAACCTGCTAGTCTTATCCTGATGTATATATTATAATCCCTTTGGCCCCAGGAAATATACAGTATTTCCATTCTGTATTCCCTTGCCCCCTGTAAGTCTTGCCTACCCTGGTTCCTAGTTCCATAAGTGTCCTTCCATATCTCCCTTCCCATATGGCAGCATGGATCTTTCCCTGATTTCAGTTCACCCTGCACTGGTAGTGTCCAAACCCAAGTATCTAAAATCCAGAGCAGCACAGAATAATGGAAAGGGCATTGGATTTGTATTCAGAAAACAGTTTCAAGTTCCAGCTCTACTGGCTTCCTTCAAGTCCCAACTAAAATTTCACCTTCTTTGAGGAGCCTTTCCTGATACTTCTTAATGCTAGTGCCTTCCCTTGTTGATTATATCCATTTTATTCTAGCTATAGTTTGTACATACCATAACTTGAACAGAAATAGCACAGTTAGTAGACAGGTCTTTATTAGTTACAACCTTCATGAGTAGAGAGTAGTAAACTGTGAGTGGTTATTAAAATTCAGGTCAACAAGCCATTTCTTCAAGTCAACAAGGACTATATTAAGCACTGGGGATAAAAAGAAATGCCAAAACATCCCCTGCCCTCAAGGAACTCACAATCTGATGGGTGAAATCAACTATGCACAAACGAGATATGGACAGAATAAATTGGAGACTAAGTGGAACCAGGAAAGGCTTTTTACAGAAGACAGGATTTTATCTAAGTCTCAGAGAAAGTCAGGGATTCCAAGAGACAGAGGTGAAGAGGGAGTGAAAGTGCAGAGAGCTGGGAGTTGTCTTAGGCAAAGAACGGCAAAGATCTAACGTCTCTGGATATTAGCGCATATCGAGGGGATCAATGTATAAGAAGATTGGAAAGGCAACAAGGGGCCAGATTATAAGGGTCTTTAAAACCCAAACAGAGTATTATATATATATGATCCTAGAGATGATAGGGAGCTTATTGAATAAGATGGTGATATAGTTAGACCTGAGTTTTAAGATTATTTTGATAGCTGAGTAGAGGGTAGACTGGAGTGAGGAAAGACTTGAAGAAGGGAGACCAACCAGAAATTTTTGCAGTAGTCTAGGAATGAGGTGAAGAGGGCCTGTACCATGGTGGTGGTAGTGTCACAAGAGAGAAAGGGATGTATACAAGAGATGTTGTAAAGGTAGAATTAGCAGGACTTGCAAATAGATTGAAATGGAGGATAGGAGTAAGAGAGAGTGAGGATTCACAGATGATACCCATGTTGTAGGCTGGGTCGCTGAGAGGATGGTGATACCCTTCACAGTAATAAGAAAGTAAGAAGAGGGCAGGGTTTGGGGGGGAAGATAATTAGTTCAATCTCAGATATATTGAGTTTAAGATGTCCACGTAACATCCAGTTTGATATGTCTAATAGACATTTGGAGATACAAGGCATGAGATAAGAAGAAAGGTTAGGGATAGATTAATAGATCTAAAAATCATCTGCACAGAGAATATAATTGAATCTATGGGAGCTTATGAGCTCACCAAGTAAAACAGTATAGAGAGAGAAGAGAAGAGGACCTAGTAGGTGTGACCTGGATGAAGATCCAGCAAGGAGACTGAGAAGGAGTGGTCAGTCAGGTAGGAGTAAAACCAGGAGAGAGAGTAGTGTCACAAAAACCTAGAGAGAAGAAAATATCAAAGTGAAAAGGGTAGTCAATAGTGTTAAAAGCTTCAAAGAAGTTAAGAAGGATGAAGATTGAGAAAAGGCCATTGCATTTGGCAGTTGAAAGATCATTGGTAACTTTGGAGAGAGCAGTCTCAGTTGAAGATCCCAGCCTTGAAGGACCTTACAGTATAATTGAGAAGAACAAACACATACATGAATTGATGTAAGAACCTTTGCTCCTATGGTTTTCCCATAGAGTTGCTTTCTCTCTGTTCCCTCTGTGCTTATCAAAGGCATGTATACCTTTCTTATTTTTTTTTTTGAGGCGCTTGGGGGACAGCTCAAGCAAGTCACTGCTTTTACTCCCGCATATATACCCTTCAAAGCCTCAATGCTAGGGGTAGCTAGGTGGCACAGTAGATAGAGCACTGGCCCTGAATTCAAGAGGGCCTGAGTTCAAATCCAGCCTCAGACACATAACACTTACTAGCTGTGTGACCCTGGGCAAGTCACTTAACCCCATTGCCTAGCCAAAAACAAAACAAAACAAAACAAAAAAACAAAGCCTCAATGCTAGCCCCTCTAATAAGAATTCTTCCTTGATCTCCAACCCTTCTAATCCTGTGGTGAACTCATCTTCTGAAATTCTATGGCATTTTGTTTATATTACTCTCAGGACACTTATTATGTGTTGCTTTGCATGATAGTTATTCATTCATTCCGTCAACCACTTATTACAGGCCTACTGTGCGCAAGGCACAGTTCTAGGTCCCAAGGATACAAAGAGGAAAATGAAGGCCCCTCCCCTCAAGGAGTTGTTTGTCTCCCAAAAGTATTAGCAGTTTTGAGCTGCTAAAGCTTAAAACTGTGCTAAGGCTTTGGGGACACCCTATATTTGTGTTTTCTCATAAATTCATAGAATGTTAGTAGTGGAACAGGGCCTTCCTTAGAGATACCATACTTAAACCATATGTTTCTTGAGGGAAGAAAATATGTTCTTTATATCTATATTGTTTATGTCCCACATTGCTTAGCACAGTGTGGTAACAGATATTTGTTGAATGAATGAAATCTAAAAATGAATGTAGAATTTCTTAGGATAAATTCAATAGAAGAAGGGTTATGTAGGGAAAACAGCCCTGACTTTAGAATAAAAAAACTAAGATTCAAAACTGGCTCTACCACTTACTACCTTTACGACCTCAGGTCACCACTCGTCTTCCCTGGGCCTTGGCTTCCTGGTTTAAAAAACAAGGGAGTTGCACTAGATGATCACTAAGATACTGTCCACTTCTAAATCTTATTAATGCATAATAATAATTCACATTCCTATGGCAATCTTCAGTTATTAAAAAAAATCACTATACGTAATATGTTTTGATCCTCAGAGTATGCCTGTTTTGTAGATGAAGGAACTCATAGAATTAAGACTACTCTGATTAACAGGTCAGCATGTTCAAAGTTTTTTTTTTTTAAATCAACTGGCTGGTTGTAAGACAACTTCTACAAAGCTATTTTGGTCTTTTTTCTAACTGAGTCAAAGATAAAGGGGCAACAGGTTGTCTAAAAGTCAGACTTACTGAGTATAGAAATTGGGACATTTTGTAATTGGGGACATAAGGAGGAAAGAGCAGGCAAGGAAAAGAGTTTAAGTGTGACCAACCCAAGAACCACTTAAATTTAGCTGGGTTTGAGATTTGGGAAACATCTTGCTGGACATAGAAAAGTAGAACAACTTGTGGTCATGGAAGGGAGAGAAACTGGAGTATGTTATCCCTTGTTTCAAACCTAATGGAGACAATTTTTAAAAAAGAAGTACTTAAGCTAAGTTCACTTCTACAGACCCAATGGTGAAGAGAAATTAAGCATTTTGCCCAAAGCCATGCCAGTTGTCAGAGGAAGGACTTAAAAATCAAGTATTTAAGGGATAGCTAGGTGGCACAGTGGATAGAGCTTTGGCCTTGGAGTCAGGAGGACCTGAGTTCAAATCCTTCCTCAGACACTTGACCCTAGGCAAGTCACTTAACCCCGATTGCCTCACCAAAAAGCAAAAAAAAAAATAGTAATAAGAAAGTGAAACTGTATGGGGCAGCTAGGTTGTGCAGTGGATAGAGCGCTGGTCCTGAAGTCAGGAGGATCTGAGCTCAAATCTGGCTGCAGACCAACCACTTGATGCTTACTAGCTGTGTGACTCTGGGCAAGTCGCTTAACTCCAATTGCCTAAAAATAAAAATAAATAAATAAATGAAAAATCATTTAGACTTCAAATCTTTCCACTAGGGTAGAGTAAAAAAAGCAGAATGAGCTCGAGTTCATCAGAGAAAGTTTCTTGGAGGAGATTGCTGTGTGGAAATCTGATGCCACACTTCTATGACTTCCATGGTTTGCAAAAACAACTTCTTAGACCTCTGACTCCAGATTTTGAAGTCACAACTGAAACCCCACTTTCTCCAGGAGGCCTTTCCCAACCCCTCTTAATTCCAGTACCTTCCCTCTGTTGATTATTTCCTATTCACCCTATATATAGCTTATTTTGTGTATATTTGTTTGTTGTATGTTGTCTCCTTCTTTATACTGTAAGATCCTTGAGGGCAGGGATTGTCTTTTTGCCTCGTGTTATATCCCTGGTGCTTAGCATAGTCTCTAGAACATAGCAGTCACTTAATAAATGTTTGTTGAATGATCAGTTGACTGAACCTTAGGTTCATTGTTGGGACTGGATTGTGAAAGAATCCAGATGATTAACATATATCTAGGTGGCACAGTGGATAGAGCACTAGGCTTGGACTGAGGAAGACTCATCTTTGTGAATTCCATCTACTTACTAGCTGTGTGACCCTGGAAAAGTTACTTAACTGACTCAGTTCCTCATCTGTAAAATAAGCTGGAGAAGAAAATGGTTAACCACTCCAGTATCTTTGCCAAAAAAAACCCCAGATGGGCTCATGTAGAATTAGACACGACATATAACTCAACAAAATTAAATTCTTTTAATGGGCAGC